TTCGTTTTCTTTTTCTTTTCTTTTTTTTTTTTTTTTTTTTCATTCCGAAAAATAATTTCTAAATAACACGACGCGAGTTGTTATTTCTAAACGACGCATCCTCGGTACGCGTCGCGATGCATTTTTGGTACGGTAACGGAGTGGGCGTTAAAACACGGATTACCAATCGTTACTCAATCGAATCGCCGTTCCAAATAAACAAGGCGGTGCGTAACGTAATCGGTATCGGTATTAACTTGGATCGCATCGGTACGTTACGTGAAAATAGAGATCTGATTACGAGACGGGGATTCGCGCGTATTATTAATTAACGAACGGTCGGTTAATTAATAGAAATTAATTCTCGAAATACAAAAGGGCTTTGCCCATTATAGACATTTGCCCTGTACCTTTTACGATACCTCACGATACCTATTGTTACTTGTTCGCCGAATTCGTTCTCCCCATTTGACGACGAGATGAAACGACGAGGAATGATCTGTTGTTATCGGCGGCGAAAAAAAGAGAGCGACCAGGATCTTTCGAGCACGCGGATCGAGGCGCTTGCAAAAGGCCTTGGCAATGTTCTCACCACGCGCACGAAGGTACGAGGCGAAAAACGCAAGGACCCTGAATACACGCCGATCTGTTGAAGGTGACGCGTAAGTGGTAGGACAGCGTTGTCGAGGAACGAAGCCGGGTCGAATCGGATGGAATGGAGCGCGCGCGTTCTTGGGTGGGAGAGGTCAAGTCGGACGAATAAAAGGGCAGCCGCTCGACTAGTCAAGCATCATTCGACTGTCAGCGATCTCAGCCGCTATAGTACGAATTCTCGAGCCGTTTTCTTTTTCGTCGATACGAAAAAAAGCAACCATGTACAAATTCGTCGCTCTGTTCGCCCTGTTCGCCTGCGCCCTGGCCGCCCCGGCACCGGAACCAGCACCAGGCTTCTTGGCACCGGCCGTGCACGCCGCACCCGTGGTCGCCGCTGCCCCGGTCGCGGTGGCCCACACCCTCCCGGTCGCCACCAGCTACGCCAACACCTACAAAGTATCCGTGAAGAGCCCGCTCGTCGCAGCAGCTCCCTACATCGCTGCCCCCGTGGCCACCGCAGCCGTCGTCAAGACAGCCGCGCCTCTCGTCGCCGCTGCACCAGCCGCGGCCGTCTACGCTCACGCTCCGGTCGTCGCCACGTACTGAATCCACTGCGCCACTGCGACGTCAACATCTCAGCCGTTCTAGTCGATCGTGCTTTTCCCCAATCACGGTATTCTCCTCCTCCCGATCATCTCACCTGGAATCGGACATGATTCGAAAATCAAAGCTGTCGACTATTAATTTTCGTCAATAAATTTTTGCTAATTTTCATTCTATACCCATGCGTTTTTTTTCCCCCGTCTCCTCTGTTTTCGTTACCCGATTCTTTCCATTATCTCTCTCTCTCTCTCTCTCTCTCTTTCATTTATTCTTTGAAATTTTTGTCTCGATATCGATCCATCCGTGTAACAACTTGGTCGAGATCGACGAGACGAGGAAATTATTTAGAGATGAAACATTGAGAAAATGGCTAATCGTTCGAGCATTCTAGAAAGTTCCTTGGCCTTAGTGAGTTTAAGGACGAGCAAAATATGTACCTAGATCGCCCTGCGAACCGGTTACAATCGCCAAGTGGATTTTTGTCGTCCGAACAGGTACCGCCCTTATCCCTTCTTCGCATGGGTGCATCGACACCGGGATTTTACGCAAAATCTCGATGTTTTGTTTTTTCGAAACTTTTAAACTTTTACGCGGTTAAGCGCAAGCTTTTCAGAATTTTATTTTTTTATGAAAGCAATATGCAAAATTCGTGCGCATAAACGAACGTTTCGATCATCGTTCAATCGATACATCCGTGGAAGACAATTTTCATTATAACTCAATGGCAACATATTACGTCACAAGTTTTCGACGCCCGAATTATGTCAATCAATCCACGCGATACTCCGTTCCGTCCAAGCTTACGTTTCGATTATCGTGCCTCGACAATTCTATTCTCCGTTCTATTCTTTGTCCTTTGTGAAGGATTCCCTCGGTCTAAAATTAAACGTTACATCTTAACTCTTATAGAACTCTTATAGTTTTCAACAGTATACCGAACAGCATCCGATTGTGCTCGCCTACGCCAATTTAATTAAATTTCGATCGAAATTCTTCCCGTTCCTTCTTGCTTGGTGAACCTTTCTGGTGGTGGAGTGGAGCTGGTAGTAAAGCCGGGGGAAAAAATATTCCCTAAGATTTTTCACGCACGTCCAAGGCTTCAAGGTGAAGCCACGTTACAGGATAAGTCCCGCCCCTGAAGTCAAAGAGGAATACAACAAACATGTGTAGGGAACGAAGAC